TTTTTTTTTTTTTTTTTTTAATTTTTTTTTCTCGTTACGGTATAATTTTATAGACCAAAAAAATAAGTTTCTGAAAATTTCAGTTCAAAATTCGAATTTTGAAAGGTCGCTCATAGTTTTTTTTATTTTTCGTTAATTAGTCATCTCGCCGACTTTAAGTGTTGGGAGTGGCGGTATGTTGGGGTCTTTTTGGTTTGAAAAAATCTTAACTTACGCGGCAAGGTCAAATTTCAACCAAGCTGGTTTCTAAGACCAGCTTGGGATTCGAACTCTCGCCTGGCAGTTGATTCAATAAAATTATTAAATTAAAAAAACATTATATTTTCTATGTTGTGCTTGATTTTTAGTTCATCTCGTGATGTATTTTTATCGATTATTGTACTAAATAAAAAAAAAATGCATGGAATTTTAATTTGAATAGCAAAAGGTCGTTCGAAAAAATCTAAACTAATGCACTATAAATTGAAAAAAAATTATGAGCGACCTTTCAAAATTCGAATTTTTGAACTGAAATTTTTCAGAAACTTATTTTTTTTTTAGTCTATTAGATTATACCGAATAACGGGAAAAAAAATTAAAAAAAATTTTTGATTTTTGACGATTTTTGAAATTTTGAAAAATTTGGAGTGACCTCTTAAAAATTTTTTTTTGAGCTGTCCTTTGGTGAGGGCTCTTAAAACATCAAAAACTAACATTTTTTCACTCGAGACTAAAAAAAAAAAATAGTCGGTTTTTTTGCGCCACCAAAATACTTTTATCTTTGTTCTAAAATTTAAATGTCAAGTGTTACAATCATTCTTATAATTTATAATAATTACTCTTCAGGTTATACCAAACATACAAAGACTCAAAGTACGTCTACTTCTTGATGGAATTGTGTCTGGGAGGTGACGTCTGGACTACGCTCCAACGGAGACGTTACTTTGACGACACGACAGCCCAATTCATGGTCGGTTGCGTTGTCGAGGCACTCGATCATCTTCACTCGCTCAACATTGTTTATCGCGATCTGAAACCTGAAAATTTGATGCTCGACAGCAGAGGATATCTCAAGCTTGTTGACTTTGGGTTCAGTAAAAAAATAGGTCCCGATAAGACTTGGACGTTCGCTGGCACTCCTGAGTACGTTGCACCCGAAATTATACTCAACAAAGGCCATGATAGGTTAGGATTTTTTATTTTGCTAATTATAATTATATACACTGAAAAAAAAAAAATTTTATTGAATCAAGAGAAAAATTCTTGAACCAAGAAAATTATTTTAAAAAATTAAATCAATAATAAAAAATCAAATGATATTTTAAAAAATTATTTGATGAAGTTAAATTTTTTAGTTCAAGAATTTGGTAATTATTTACGAGTGGGGTAAATCCATACTAACTCATGTTAATTTTTTTTTTTTTTTATCAAATTGTTCCGTGTCCTAGCAATGAGAGAAAAAATTTATTTTGAAAAAAATGAACAATGTTATAATAAGAAATTAATTTGTTGAAAATTTTGGACGATTTTATTTCTTAGCTGAAGAAATAAAAATTTTTTTGGTAAATATTTACAAATGCGGTCAACCATTTTAATTTTCATTTTTTTGAACGAAATTAAAAAAAAAAAGTTGACTATTACAATTTTAACAAATTTTCAAAATTTATAAATTTTTTAGAAAATTGTGATATTCATCTTTTTTTTTTTTTTTTTTTATATTTTTTGTTTTTTTACATACTTTAAAAAAAATATATCAAAAAAATATAAAATAGAAATTTTAGCCATAAACATGAGAGCCAAAATTTTTTCCAACTTTTAAATGCAAAAAAGCTATCGAAATTTTTATTTTTTTCTTTCATGACATTCTTTATCGTAAAAACAAGCAGAATCAAATAAAAATTTGAAAATGTTAATTTTTCACCTAATTATGGCCGAAAATGAGATTGACCCCAATTGTAAATAATTACCAAAAATTTTTCTCCTCAAAAGAAGACGAAATTCTTTAACAAATTTCTTTGGATTCAAATTAATTTTTTCCCGTGCATTTAATTTATAATTTTATATAATTAAGACCTAAAATTTGATAAATATGAAATTTTTTTTTTCTTTATAAATATTCAAAATTTTACAGATTACATAAGTGGTACACGCATTTAAATTGATGTGTAGATTAATATCACTGCAAATTAAAAAATAATATTATCTTTTGTAAAGCTATCTCTCGACCGATTGACGGATTTTAAGTGTGGATTTTAATAGCCTATTTATTTATTATAGAATTATCAATAATCTCAACGAGGTAAAATACATACCAATGATTGTGATTAAATCATTCAAAATATTTATATTGATACTAAGCAATTTTTAGGATGTGATATTTTTGTTTATAAATATTAATTATATAATTTTTTTTATCAATTTCATCTGAAATAACTTTTCGTTAATTAATATTTTTTTAATTATTTTTAATGAAGAAATAATTTTTTTCAGAGCCGTAGACTATTGGGCCTTAGGAATTCTGACCCACGAATTACTGGTCGGCAAACCCCCGTTCCGCGGGTCAGATCACATGACAACGTACAATAAAATTCTAAAAGGCATTGAAGTTGTTGGAATTCCATCAATTGTAAACAAAAATGCAAATCATCTTATAAGAAAATTATTGAGACTGAGCCCTTCTGAGCGACTCGGGTATCTGAGAAATGGGATCCAAGATATCCGTGATCATAAGTGGTTCGCTAATTTCAATTGGCCAGCATTGCAGCGGCTTGCTTTGCCAGCGCCAATCGTCCCTACGGTAAGTATTAAGGGGGTATGGTATTCTGGTCTAAAAGTATGAAATTTCAGGTAATTTTTAAAGTGCCGTAAAAAAGGTAATCAATGTTTTTACTATAAATTTTTTTATAAGTTATTTATTAACATCATAAGAATACAGAAAAAAATAAAAAAAGTTGAAAATCCAAAAAATTAGCAGCTGATGAAGTGGGGGGCTTTCAAGAAATTGGCACGTGACTATACCCACGATTCCAACTCTGCTAGCAATCGGAAACAAAAAAATAAAAAAGATTATTAATCTAGAGTAATGTCGCTATAGTTTGAACTATGGAAAAATTGAAAAAAAATTTTTTTTTTTACTTTTTCGAATTTTTTAAAAATAGTAAAAATTGAAATTTGGAGATGACCGTAGTTCCAACCATAGCGACATAACTGTAGATTAGGGAGAAAAAATATTGGTTTTTGATGTTTTAAGAGCTCTCTCCAAAGGACAGCTTAAAAAAAAATTTTTAACAAGTCGCTCCAAATTTTTTTAAATTTCAAAAATCGAATTTTTTTTTTTTATTTTTTTTCTCGTTAGGTCATAATTTTATGGACCAAAAAAAAAGGTTTTTCTGAAAGTTTCAGTTGAAAATGTGAATTTTAAAAGGTCGCTCATAATTTTTTTTTTATTTATTTGAGACTATTTAATTGGATTAGCATTTTTTGACTCTTAAATTGAAAAAAAATTATGAACGACCTTTCAAAATTTTAATTTTGAATTAAAACTTTAAGGAACTTATTTTTTTTGGTCTATAAAATTATGACGTAACGAGAAAAAAAATTAAAAAA